TTGTTCGTCGGTAAACCGGGAGGGTAGCCAAATTGAAATCCACTACAAACGATGCCTTCAATACCAAGCACAACCTAGATTAGGTCGGTATGCAAGCCACGGTCACTGTGCATAATGCAGGTGCCAGTAAGTTGAGAGTCAGTGTGTAGATCTAACTTCCGAGCTTCAAGTTGTGTGCACATGTACATAGACACACAACCTTGGCAACAGGAATCTACTAGTGCGTGTTTGGTGTTGGGGTCCACACACGGACTTTCAGCAGCTTCGAGTCCTGGGAAATCGGTTGAGCTTCGCCACCCAGAGTATTTGCTGTCAACGGATAACCCAGTCCGTTGATAGCCTTTGCGCCGTTGGGCATGTACGATTGAACTGGCATTGAGTTGGTCGGACATCTCCATCAGAGTCTTTTTCCAAATGAGTCTCTTTGCATTATTGCGTACCGAGACAGAGCGAGACTCCGCAGCCCTTGCATCTCTCAGCGCCGGGGTCGCAACTTGGATCGAGCTTAGTATTACCTTCCAAATGAAGTAAACAATGGAACTGAGCTCACTTGTGGCTACAGTGGCTCAACTACATGGCAATAGTCTAAGCCTATCTCGACCATCGTTCACTGCGAGATGGTGACCATCATTCTCAACAGAAAGCATTTGCGGCGCGGTACCAGGAGTCAATTGATCTTATCTGGACGCACAAGCGTAGGCGTCGGCATTTTCCGCAGCTTGTCGGGGTAGAGTCGTTCGTGCATAGAATGGTCTGTCCTATGTAGTAGAATTACGAGGGCGCCGCCCAAGATGGTTATATGCATAATCCTGTAGGTTCCACCCGCTACATTTCCACCATACAAAATTACGGAGACATGGAGAGCATCTAGTTCATGGATGGAATAGTGATACTGGCGATGGTCCACGTCTTGCCGTTGTCCGCCGTGAGCATGTCGCTGGCGACGACGCCAGACCCGATACCGCGTGTGTTAATGAAGGTTAGGTCGGCCGACTGGAGGATGATTGTTGTGTTGGTGTAGGTCTTGGGGGTAGAACCGTTAGACGTTGCCAAAGTATCAAAGCTCGGCTGCTTACCTGTACAGACTCGGTTCCCTTCGACGAAGCCTGGAGCTCAGTGCCCGTACCCCAACCTCCATTGATGAGTGGGCCATCATCTAAAAATGTTTTCGTTCAGAATACGGCGACAGACACAATAAATCACTTGACACGCACAGGACTTGAGCGTAGAAATGACTTGTCCATTGACAGTCACAGTCTGGTCCCAAGTCTTCTGGTCACTTGCCAGCTGGAGAACACAACATGCTTGAGAGGCCATCGTTATTGGTAGCCCGGGACGTACTTTATAATGGATGTTGATGGGCGTGTTACCGTTGACTGGAACAAGGGGTCCGCTCAGTTGGGTGGTTTGGCCGTCCACAACGCTGGTAAATATCTTTCAGAAAAAACAGTGCGGCAAGACAATTCGGAAAGACTGACCCAAAGTAGCTCGCAGAGACACACCATTGTCCTGCGGACGCCCCACAACTGGACGTTATGTTGAGAACATCTCTCAAAGCAATAAAGAAGCAATAAAGAGAGACCCACTAAGCCGACATATCACCAATGGAATCCGCACCGGATTGAATAAGGCCGCTAGTAGCGTTGCTAACGCCTATAATTATGATAATTAAGGTTAATTAGTTCGTAGGCCAAAGCTAGTGAGCACTTGCCTGGCCACAGAAAGAGAGCGTCAACTGGGTTTTTTGGAGGAGTTCCGGGGTTGAAAGTGGTTGTGGCCTCAATGATGGCAGAGGCTGTAGGCCCGAGGGAAAAGGCGGGACCCCAGCTATCGCCACGAACGCCAGAGAGAAGAGCAAGAGCTGCGATGGTCAAAGAGAACATATTGAGATTTGGGGATAATTTGCCGCAGCCATATGGTGTACAACCAAGCTTATAAGCGTTGGAAGGCACCTAGGATGTGCGCGTGGAGGGAGCATGAGACTGAGCAAGGTGCCTAGAGATTTCGCGACTCTTGAACTTCGGGAGAGACAAAATAGCACCGCGAAATGCCTCGGGGTCTATCGCAGGGCCTATTCGAGATGATTCACGCAACGCTATTGGGGGGACGTGCCAAATAGCAACCTCGATGACCAGCACGGGCGGGCCGTTTGAATAAAAGTCGGATATTTCTCGCGCGAAGGAGGGACCTAGAAGCAGATGAAGTTGGCGGACCGCCGGTTTCCAACGTCTCTTCGCGCTGAATATTCAATTATAGCTTTAATCTAGCCTCTCAAGACCAAGTGACCGTTGAGAAGAGGAAGCCAACACTACGCGCGATCAAACGGCCAACTTCCAAGCTTCAGTCCGTGGCGATCATTCTTACGCATAACCATCGTCTGCCAGCCTCAAAATTCCAACCCCAACCACACGGCATCCTACAATGGCTGCGCAAGGAGGAGGACCTGCATTCAGCCTGGAAGAAGAAGGTACGTCGTGCCAGTGGTTTTCAGCAGCCCGTTAACAAACCTTAGATGCCATCTTGCATTCCAGAATATACAATGACCATCGTGGACTGAAGCGGATAGCATCCAAATTCTATGCATTATCAACAAGCAGTGGCACAGACGCAATAAACGACGCGCGCGAATCCTTCATCACAGAGTTAGAGACATTGAAGCTCACAATGTCAAAGAGCGCTTTGATATGCGAAGCCGAGGCTAGGCAGGTGGAGGACTATCAACAAGAGCGCCAGCGTATAGGTGCGCTACAACCAGACAGATAATTCGTGTTACTGATCATGAGCAGACGAAGAGCATGGCCGCCTCCAAGGAGAAATTGAACAGCTGAAACTCGCCCTGCAACGCGCTCAAACAATACGTGCACAGAAAATCGAGTACGACCACATTGCGTCCAGCATCAACTCCATTCCCAGTCGTGCAGAGGCTCAAAGGTGCGCCTCCCTCCCCCATATTCCCTCCATATGGCGTTAACACAAGTTGTAGTGAGATTTTAGCTCTTGAAAGCGACATAGACGCTATCCGCAACGAACATGAAACCCAGAGCCGCATTTTGCTGCAGCAAAAGACGGCCCTCGAGCAAGTTGTTGGACAACTTTTGGCATTACGACAAGTCGGCAAAGATGCGGACGAGCCTGCAGAGCCGATTGCGGCGCCCACCCCTGGAGTGGACCTTGACGCGGCTTCGACACCAGCCGCACCTATGGACGACGACAAGAAGGACGGAAGCGATATTGAGATGGGCGAGGTCTCCGAGACGCCGAAGGGCAAACGACGGCGCGAGGACATGGAAGAGGGCGAGGCCACGGATGGCAGTAGTGAACTCAGTGACCCTCCAGACGACTAAACTATTTTGTACATTTCGTATTTCCACGCCCTTGTATGTCCATTCCACTTAACCACGCATCTGCACCTCGTATGTCATAAAGTCTCTTGCTGTAATAACCTCCTTTCCAAACTCCTCCGAAGCTATCCTGCCAATTTCCCGCATTACGAGCTCGGCGCGCTCGTTGGCGCTGGGATCAGGATAGCGCGCTGAAAAGTGGTTGAGAATCAAATGTCGCGCCCCAACGCGTCGGGCGAATGCGCCAGCTACTTGACAGGTTGAGTGTCCGTGGGCTTTCGATTGCGCCTGGACGGACTCGACCGTGTCCGTCTCTTTTTGATTGGGGTCAATTCCAGGCAAATATGCGTTGGTAGCTTCGTGGACAAGGAGGTCAACGTCCTGGCAGAGCGGTGCGATGGGGCTGGCATCATATGTATCCCCAAGGATAGCTATACGCCTTCCAGGTCGTTTTGGTGGGCCCTCAAGAACGGTCCCATCCTTGAGCGTCACGCGCTCGCCAGCTTGAATTCTGGTCATCAACGACATCGAGTCGCCAGAGCTTTTGATGCGTGGAATGTACTCTTTCTGGTCGATTTTTCCTGGTATAGGCGCTTCTGTGAGGACATAGCCTACGCATGCAACAGTGTGATGTATAGGTCCAGCATCGACGGTGATAGTCCTGTCCTTAAAAACGTTACGCCAGAGACCATCTTCATCACAGACGATGTCGCGTCCTGGCACTTCGGATCGATGAAGAGGTAGCTCAGTGTAGTCCCCAGAAGGATCAGCCAGAGTGCGTAACTCATGAACTGCATACGGAGCAGCAATCATAGAATGCGTGTACTTGAGCACGCTCCGGACGTATGCGCGAGTGCCCAGAGGTCCATATATTTCCATTGACTACATGAGTAAAAGAGCCTGAGCCTTGATCACAACTCGAGGTGGAAACCAACCTTTCCTGTGCTCACCGCTGCATCAGACCAGGCGTCCATGAGTGGGACGAGTCCGTTAATGTGATCTCCTATAACAATTTGATATCAACCTTTGCCACTGATTACTTCGGTTCATGTACCGTGAGTATGCGTCAAAAAGACTTTCTCGAGATTGCCCATCTTGAGAGATGACTTGTGGAATTGTGCCACTGTCCCTTCGCCGCAATCGAAGAGCCATATGTCACCCCCGAGTTGCAGGCCAAGTGAGGACTGATTTCGCGTCGGTGAGCTCGAAGCAGATGCCGTGCCAAGGAATGTCACGCGCAGAGGCGAGCCACGTATATCGCGAGGGCGCAAGACCATTGGTAATGATGGAAGGAGAACGACACGATCAAACAATGAATTTGCCAAATTGATCATGATCCAACGGCACTTGGCGGCGATCATAAGAGCACTCAAGTTCAACGTGCAACGTTAGCTATCATTACTGCTTCGTGCAATAGAAACCCTTGGTCATATTGTCATACCTCCCCGGAATTTTTGTCGGCATCTACTTACTCAGTACGACAATCACGGCAGCACTCAAACATCTCCTTGAGAGTGTTGTCAAAGGATAGCATGTATAAATAATCAGGCTGAAAAAAAAGCAAATTCGATGGTATCTACTTGTACAATGTAGCCGTCACTTGACATCCGGATTCCGTGCAACATCTTGAGTTTTGAAAGTTGCTTACATGTGCCAAAACTCTCTGCCTGGGAGTCGAACCCAGCTTTCGCGCGACCACGTTGGGATAGCCCACTGGTGACAGGCGCGTGTACTAACCGATATACTAGCAAAGATGCTTTAATGAATCATTTGCAACACCAACACGAGATGTTTGAAAATTGTCTATCTTGCTTGCTGGCATATTAAATATTTTGCTATAGTAGTCAGGACGCAACAATGAATGTAGGGTGGTTCCAGGTGCCCCTCTCACCCAAGAGTGCTGATGACGCTGTGCAGCCAGGCATTACCCTCCATGCGCGGCAGTAGCTCGTCTACCGCCTTCTTCAGACTCTCCAACTCGTTCGCGTTCTCCGTCTCAAAGTCATCTTCAGCTCCATCACCCATGGTCACATCTTCCCCGTCTGTCTCATTTCCTGCCCATCTCCTCAAGAACTCCTCCATGAGCTTCACACCCTCTTCCGTTGCGTCCTGGTCCACGGCCATACGGTCATGTTCACCCCCGAAGTCCTCCAATTCGTCCGCTTTCCGGCGCGCAAGCTTGACAACAGCCTCGGGAAAGTTGGCTAGCTCTGCGACGTGTATACCGAAGCTCTGATCAGAGACCCCAGGCTCGACCTTGTAGAGCAGCGTAATTTCTCGCTTTTGATTCTCGTTTGGCTCCTCTGCTACATGTGCGACGACATGTAGATTCTTGACGTACGTGATTTGTTGGTCCAGTGCTGTTAGTTCGTGGAAATGGGTGGCGAAAAGACAGAAGGCGCGGATTGAGGACGCTATATGTCTATTGACGGGTCATCAATCCCAAATTCTCTTGGCTGGCAAACATTGAGACGCACTCAGATATTGCCCATGCCAAACCGAAGCCATCATATGTTGACGTCCCCCTTCCAAGTTCGTCAATGATAATGAGGGAGTTCTTTGTTGCAGACTACAGCCTTGTCAGTTCAGCACTGGTCATGCATGCTGCATCATCTCACTTTCAAAATCGTCGCTGTCTCCAACATCTCTGCCATGAATGTAGATACGCCCTTCAGTTGACTGTCACCAGCACCAACCCTGCACAGAATTGAATCAAAGACAGGTAGCTTCGCCTCGGAACACGGAACAAAGCATCCCGTTTGAGCCATCAAAGCGATGACACCAGCCTGGCGAATGTACGTTGACTTGCCGCCCATATTAGGTCCGGCTAGAGAAAGGAAGTCAGCCACCAACACGCATACCTAGGCGAAATTCGAGCTCACTGATTATTTGAAGCTCGCTTTGCTCTACGGAGAATGTGGTCAGACGACGCGAGCATATACATGAGATGGGCTCACCCTTGATCATTTCGATATCATTGGCAATGAAATGGACATCGTCCTGGACTTCAAGGCAAGGATGGCGAGCGTCCCGTAAGACAAGGCTTCCATTGCCCATTTCAAATAACGTTGGCTTCACATACGGCTCTGGGGCATTGATCGATACATGTGCGAAGCTACCGTTGGCGTGAGCACAAGCATGACTTGTGTTCCGAATGAAAATTTACCTGACGATCACGTCTAAGTGCGCGAGAACGTGGTCCAACGATTCGAATACAGGACAGTACGTTGCTACACTTGTTAGTCAGTGCTTCATATCTTCGTATCAAGTTGACACACCAGCAATGTTGACCACATTCTTGACGAGGTTGGCCTGAATACGATTGTAATGATCCCACTGCTCTCTGTAATCCTCTCCAAGACTCTTCAGGGTTTTTGTCGTAAAATAGACACCTGTTTTATTCGTTCCAAGCTCTGTATACTTTTTGTTCTTTGCTATCGCTTTTCCGTCCTATGGGGACTTGAGCATACTAGCGAAACGCTGGGAAGAGCCATACATTTTTCGTCACTCTGAAGCAGTACCCATACATCTGACTGTTCTCGAGATGAAGCTTCTTGTCGAGTTCTAGGCCAATGTCACGGCCCACAGCGGAGTGCTCCTTGTCGAGTCCATCGCGAATCTGACTCCATCAACAAGGAGAGGAAGACAGATGGACGAGCCGACATACGGTTTGCAACTGTTCAGAGTGGTCTTGCAGGCGGGCGTCAAACTCTGGTTTGATGACGTATCGATGCTGGCTGAGCTGGTCGAGGTCAATGGTGCTTTCGACCATTTCCGCATATTCTGCTAGGTCTTTTTGGCATTGCTTCAACCTATGAGCAAAGTATGGAATGGGAAGAGTTTTGACGTACTCTGAGTTCCTCCAGATACTGCTCTTCGATGAGTTTCTGACATGCGTCGACGTCTTCGCCTTGCACCTCTCCCAGGGTTTCGACAAGTCCATTGAGCTTTTCAACAACCTGGTACACACGAACAACATCCTCTAGAGAGGCCTGCGTCTTCTGGAATCGCTTCGATATTCGATGCAGATCAGGCATGAATTTGAGATATTCGTCTTGCAGTGTCCTTCGCGAATTGGAGTCGTTTACAAATGCCTCGACCAAAGTCTGTCTCCTCTTTATTTCGTGCAGGTTAATCAAAGGTTGTTTGAGCCACGTTCCAAGCATTCGAGTACCCTGTGCCGTCTTGCACTTGTTCAGTAAACCAAGAAGGGTAGTATTGCGTGTTGTCACACCCTGTCAAATGTAAGGATATTGAAACAAGGCAAATGACGAAATGTACAGCACTGCCAGGAGCTTCCGTCAAGTTGAGAGCTCGGAGAGCACTTGCATCAAGCCTCATATATTGACTGAGATCATGCGTGCGAATATGAAAGGCCCCTTCGTTAGATGGGTCCCCAAGCAAACCGAGATACGAGACAAGAGCTGCGAGACAAGACGGCGCGACAGGAAGTGCAAGCTGAGCTATATGGCATGAACAGGATACACGACATGTAGCTTGAGTAAGACGTACGAATAGTGACAGTAGGATCCGCAGAGGAAGAGCTTCCGACACTTTCCTTGGGCTTCACAAGCAGACGGGGCAGATCGCTGGCTATATCCCGCGCATTGAACGCGCCTGGATAGTGTCACTATTAGAATGCGTCTCAGGGTCCGGTGCAACATACTAGGCTTGCGTTCCGTGATGACAACATTACAACGTTCAAGCATGGTCCTTAGCTTGTTAAGATCCACATCCCGGTCAGTGTTGCCTGTTGTCGTTCCAGCTGGAAGGATAGCCTCCTTCACTCCCAACTGGATAACCAATGACTATGTGCAAGTCAGAATTTGCCCATCTGTTAAATCCGGTCACGCACTTCTGTATTGGAGAATAGATCATTGTCCACGAAATCTGCAACGCCTAATGTCCGCTCGCTCGTGTCCGCAAACGCGACGCCAACTGCCTTGGATTTATCTTTTCCGCCAGGATTTGGTGCTACATTGGCCACTTTGATGGCCATAACGATTGGGGCTGACAGCAAGTCGGAAGATACAAAAAGGAGCCCTTCAACTTGTTGTAAATTGCCAGGAGAGGCCTATAGTCACATTGAGCGCTGCCGATACTAACAAGCGGAGGAAACGCGCCTCTTTGTCTAGCCTGAACTTGGTCGCCTTCTTCCCTTGGCCAGGTTCTGGCTCGTATATCTCTACCCGTAGCTGCTTGACAGTAAGGGCTTCGCGCAGCAATACCTGAGCCATGTTGACCCGCAGCGAGACGGCGGGCAGGCCAGCTGCCTTGCCGCCTGCTCCCAAGTACTTTATGACAGAGTTGGTGTGAAAGACGTTGGTAGCAACGTAGTATGCATCGGGCCCATATGCGGAGTAGAATTCGTCGGGATTGGAGCGGTGAAAGAGTCGTAGTGTGCCCGTCTCTGGCGACTTGACAGGGAGGTCTCCAAAGAATCTTACGAGACCGGGGTCATCATTTTGTTCTTGTTAATGTTAGGCCAGTCTGGACGGATAGTTTGAAAATTACTTGCCAGCATCATCGTCTTTCCCACTGCCGTACATGGTGGTCCCAACGCAAGGCGCGATCGAATATCATTGCGTCACGCGACTGCCGCCTTGATGCCGTTCGTCAGTCGCAACTGGTTCAAGTTGGCCAACTCAAAGCCAACTCAAAGCAGCCAACTGCAAATTCCCTGATTACTGCAGTGACAGTCGATATGCTCGCATACCTTTTCGGGGAGAAGTATTTCCGCGAAAAAATCATCTTGGACGCCTGCCTGCAGCCTGCAGCCGGTCGGCGGTGACTGGTAATTCCAACACTTCACACTGCATATAAACACTACGCCACGAGGCCCAAGTGTTATAAGAGGATACGAACTGTCAGGCCGTCTCTGCCACCAATATGCCGCCTCTCCTTCCAGTGATATTCAAGCTTCTCCTTCTGCCGCTATTTCTGTGGCTTTGGTTCGACACGAGTGCATTGAATGTATCTCTCTATCGCTGGCCAGCGCTTGACTTTGGTAGAGCCAGCTCTTCGGGAAGTCGACCTGCTTTCTCGAGTTCATCCTCCTCCCCTGCCGCTGAAACCGTCGATCCCTTTAACCACCGGGATAGGTCTGACCGATTTGTCAAAGGGACACGCCCAACCCTCATCAAGAACGCGACCATATTCACTGGCACGGCTGACCGCTTGATTGTCCAGGGAGACATTTTTGTGGACAAAGGCATCATACAGGACTTTGGAGACTCCCTCGAGCTAAACTTGTTGCCCCCCGAGACCTCCTTCGTCAACGCGCGAGGGGCATGGCTCACGCCTGGCTTAAGTGTGTACCGCGCACAACTGCGCCGTATTATGAATGCTGATATCTGGTCATAGTTGACTTGAGCTCCCAACTTGGTATCTCGGCTATCCCGCGGATCCAAGGTTCTACACTTCAATGTACTTTTGCTATGTTCTGCATCTAACTTCTTACGTTTAGTGGGCGCCGATGCAAATTCGCACAAGGGCCCAGTCGTTCCATGGCTCCGAGTCATTGACGCAGTGAGCCCACAAGATGAGGGCTTCCGCTTAGCCCTTGCAAGCGGCGTCACGACTGTCAAGGTCAATCCTGGAGATCAAAATGTTATAGGTGCGAACGCATTGTCTGCGCTCCCTATGCCGGCTTAAAAAGTCACAGGAGGACAGCCCGCCATGATTAAGACACGCAGGACACACGAAGGCACCCCAACTTCCATGCAAGTCGATCCTCAAAGTGAACCATGGGGGC